CCCGGGCCCATCGCAGCAGCCAACACTCACCGTATAAACCCATCCCAACTTTTCCCTCTCTGTCTGTTTCTCACTTCCTGTTTCTCGTCCAAGTTCTCGCGAGGAAAACGCCGAGATCTCGCACGAAAGGAGGTCAAGACAATTCCCTGCGCATTGGAGATCCCTCACTTTCCTTCCGAAGGGACGCCTCGGCCGGCCAGTCACGGGCGCCGAGAAAATGTCAAGGAAAATGTCACTTTCTTTGTTTGCCTGACACACTGCAGTCAATTTCGCCTCACATAAAAGTCTCGGGACGGATAGCGGAGTGTCTGGGAGTGTGGAGCGAAAGGGGGCGGAGGGAGGAGTAAGATGGAGTTGTTCAGTTGTCTTAAAAAAAAACAAAAAACAAAAAACAAAAAACAAAAAACAAAAAACAAAAAACAAAAAACAAAAAACAAAAAACAAAAAACAAAAAACAAAAAACAAAAAACAAAAAACAAAAAGGATAACAACAACAAACAACAAAACAAAACCAATAACAACAGCAAACACTAAAATAATAACAAAACAAAAGACAATAACAGCAGCAAACAACAAAAATAACAAATCAACAAAAAAAACAAGAAAAAAACTGATAACAACTAAAACAGAATAAAAACCCGGGCCCATCGCAGCAGCCAACACTCACCGTATAAACCCATCCCAACTTTTCCCTCTCTGTCTGTTTCTCACTTCCTGTTTCTCGTCCAAGTTCTCGCGAGGAAAACGCCGAGATCTCGCACGAAAGGAGGTCAAGACAATTCCCTGCGCATTGGAGATCCCTCACTTTCCTTCCGAAGGGACGCCTCGGCCGGCCAGTCACGGGCGCCGAGAAAATGTCAAGGAAAATGTCACTTTCTTTGTTTGCCTGACACACTGCAGTCAATTTCGCCTCACATAAAAGTCTCGGGACGGATAGCGGAGTGTCTGGGAGTGTGGAGCGAAAGGGGGCGGAGGGAAGAGTAAGATGGAGTTGTTCAGTTGTCTTAAAAAAACAAAAAACAAAAAACAACAACAACAACAACAAAAAAGGAAAGAGCCTTAAAGTAAATAACATTCTATCGTAATTAATTACTGTAACCTACATGTCATTCTGGTTTAAATGTTTTTTTAAACGATAGTACTCCATTATACTGCACTGTGTAGCTAACATCGTTAAACTCTACGGCCGTAAACCCCACATTTCACTAACCCTTCCGGTGGAATGTCCTCTAAATTTCCTTACGTTTTGGAGCTAATCTTCCCAGAAACATTTAATTTCTCTCCCGCTCCGTATGGCAAGCAGGCCCCACTTGAAGACGTCATTGTATTATCATCAGTGTTACGTATGTAAAGCGTTCCGAGTCGGCCGGAATAAATGGCGGCACATAATCTTGCCCTAAAATATTCCGAAGGACTTTTAGCTAATGAGTTTAGGGCTTGGAATAGTCTATGTCATTTCCCTTGAATCCGGTACGAGGGACGCGCTGCCGTCGACATTTGGTCATGATTTAACGAAGTCTTCGTCGGTGAAATATCTACCCAGGGCGGAGTTTCATGTATTAGCAAACAACAGGCGACTGAAACAAATATCAATAACGTTAAATGCTCCGAGAAAAAAAAATCCATTCTTGAAGGCTCGTCAAACGGTCCCAACCTCCCCCTCCCTTCTCCCTCTCTACTGTTTTGATATTTTCTATATCCTGGCCATCCACTCTTTAAAAAACTTTTCCAATGGCTTCCCCTTCAACAATGACGGATGCTTGACTCTCTTCCAAGAGATATAAACTTCCTTGTTCCTCTCGCTCTAAATGCGCCTCGAGCGGCCCTGCGACTCACAAAAAACGAGAGTACAAGGCAAAGAAGAAAACGTGGAGGACTCTGATTTTTTAAAGGGGATACGATGATATTCTTTCAAGGTCGCTCTATAAACGAATATAAATGTCAAAATGACGGTTTGCCCATACATTTCGATATATCATATACACATTATATGGTGAAATATAATACACACAATATACAGAAACCAACATACAGTCACAACTTCTAACAAACCTATAGCAAACTTAATAGATTCTGCAATCATATTAAATGATCTAAAATTAAGAATCAGACAAAATAAATTCCAACTTACGACCTTCGCTACATCCCAGCTGCTCATCCGTCACGTGACACTTACCTAGAAAAGGAGAAAGAAAAAAAAGTTAATTAAAGTTGATATTGCACTCAACATGTTCAAAAGGAGTAAAATATGCAGTTCTGACCTTTCAAAGAATCTTCCTTTTACGTAATATTTAGTAAGAACACACACACACACACACACACACACACACACACACACACACACACACACACACACACACACACACACACACACACATACACACACACACACGCACACACATACACACACACACACACACACACGCACACACACGCACACACACGCAGAACTTGTTTGTTTATTTATCCATGTAGCACATACAATTATTTCACTTAGTTA